AGAAAATGAAAATGCCTCAATGTAGCGACTCTCTAAATGTGTGTGTGTGTGTGTGTGTGTGTGTGTGTGTGTATGTGCACTCATCTATTTGATTGAAACTCTGAACTGCTGAACTGCAGCCACACCACTTTATCTTTTGCTGCTCATTGTAAGGGCATGAACACACACACACACACACACACACACACACACACACACACACACACACACACACACACAGGCAGACAGCTCTGTGTTGAACTTGAGATGAGTTATGGAAAGGAAAACAGCAGTTGAGGGTCAAACCATATGAGGTCACCCTGAAAGAATCTCCATTCTTTCTCAAGATCTCTCTCACTGTATGTCTCTCAGTCCTCTCATCTTCACCAGTGAAACCAGCATTTTATGGTGTTCTCCTCATTTTCCTCCTCTACTTCCACAGCTTCTCCCCCCTCTTACAATTGAAGAAACTAAATATCCTCATAAAAAGAGAAAAAGAAAACAAAAGAGTAAACACTGAAACCATCTTCTAGCATTTAATTTAACAAGAAATAGCCCACTAGCCCAGGGAATTACGTTCATATTGGACGATCCCACCCCTCACAGTATAGGTCCAATGCCAAACTTCAGTGCCAATGCAGGAAGCAGTGGGCCCCTTATGCCGCAAGGTGTAAGAGAAAGAAGTAAGAGTCTAAATCACAGTTGAAAAAATTCTTTTGGTTGTTCGATATTGAGAAGTGTAGGAACTGCAGAAGAAGAAGACGATGCTGTTTTTTAAAAGTAGCTGAGAAGAGCTGCTGTAACATGCTGGACAGGATGAGGTGTGAGAGGTACAAGATCCGAGGGAGGTTTGTGTCCAGTGTGTGTGTGTGTGTGTGTGTGTGATGAGGTGATGACTGAGCTTGCCACCCAGGCTCCAGGACAGGCATCTTCAGACCAGCAGAGAGGAGAGAGAGATGAAGATGAGGAGGAGGAGGAGGAGGAGTGTGTTTACATGTTTAGATATCCCAGAGGCTCTCCAAAGGTCAACAGGTCAGCGAGCCACCCGGAAAGCCCCGGTACATTCCTCACTGTAGCCCTGCATGCGTGAGTGTGGGTCACCCAGAGGCCATGCGGCCATGTGAATGTGAGAGGCCTGACTGCTGTTAAAATGCATGAAGCTCTCCGTATGTTGTGTTGTGTTAAACTGTGTGGTTCTTAAATCCATGAGGAGGAAGACAACTCTCTTTACACTTGAGTCATTCTTCTCTTCCTCCTTCGCTTCCGTCTCCTGCCTCAAACTCCTGCAGGTACGTGGTGCACATTTCTGGGGAGTCACTTTACTTACTTGACACATATTACTCTCCTGCTATGCATTGTGGTCCAGCAGAGCGGGCCCTATGAAAGAGAGTGTTGGGGTGTCCCCATTGGGCCTTGTTGTTTCACAATAAATAGACGCAAACGGAATGAACCTGAATTATGTCCTCAGAAGGCTTTTCGACAGAAGAACACAGTCATCAAATAATTTGGAACAACAAATGTATTCTAATTAAGCAAATGTTGAATATCTGTAAACAATTTGTTTCTGCTGGCAAAATATTATTTACTCAAATTGACATTTTTAAATCTTCTCCTGTTTTTGAGTCATTTAAAAGTGAATTGACCGACTTTGACTCTTGGTTCGTCCACTAATCAGATTAGATTGATAGATCACATGATCAGGCTCCTCCAGTCTGAATATCAGTGTCCTTGGGCAAGATAGTGAACCCCAAACTGCTCCTGAAGGCTGTGCCACCAGTGTGTGAGTGTGTGTGAATGGGTAAATGTGACATGTTGTTTGAAGCGCTTTGAGTGGTCGAAAGAGTAGAAGGCCACTACAGTCCATTTTCCATTCCTTCTTAGTTATTTTATTTTATCAGTATTTGTGGCAGTTTTGTTCTCAGTTGTATTGTAATGAACTAATATTATACAGCCGCCTGTTTGAACTTTTGCATTCAACAAAGTGAGAAAAAATGAACAGACAAACAAAAACAAACCTTTAAACCCATCCATCTCGAAAATGAAAAGCCCCTCATGTCGGGAACACTGCGTTTAACATAAAGAACGATTTACAGTGCAAATATGTCCTCAAGAGAACATTGACCTTGTCTTGTATAAAAAGGCTCAGCTGGCCGTACTGTAGTTTTATAGAAACGTTACTCAAGCAGGAGGATTTTCCGCATTTGTTGGGGACAGTTTTCAGCATTGCAGTATTTGGGGCATATGATTTACATTACATGTGGGATTGAGTCAAAATAAACTGCTGTGCGTGTTCATGGTAATGGACGTGTCACCAACTGGAACAGTGTGGCTCACTGATGTGTTTTTTTTGTAATAGTTTTTAAAAACAATGGAGCTCAGAGGAAGATATCAGAAATAACAAAGCCTCAATAAGAGTAATGAAGCTGAAGCACCTTAAGGCCATTTTTACCTAGATATTATGATTAAATATTACAGTGGAAACCTCTTAAAGTACTCACGTCTGTCCGGGCCAAATGAATCACTATGACGACATGATTTTTATAACTGAATTGGTTTTCTGTACTCGTATCATTCAAATACACAATACAGTAATCCAGTACTGCATATAAAATACAATATAAAATATAGCTTCACTTTAGTTCAAATTATAATTAGGCTATAGCCTAAAACAGTATTGTGTCATTTACAACTACAAAAAAGTGTAATCCTGGTGGCATTGTTTCCCTTAAAACTTAGTAGCAGAAGAGTCAAGGTTGTGGTTTTGTGCTTAGTGATGCATTCATTTATATCATATAGAAAGTAGTTTATGGTAAGTCGAAAGAGTACAAAAAAGCATTTCTTCAGTGGATTGACAGAAAAATCTTTAATTGAGGTAGCTTCGAGTACAAAAAGACAGGAACACAATTCTGAGCGTGTCTTAGGCAGCAGAACTAATAAAACTCAGTCAGTCTGCTCTCATTTAAAAACAAAACATCATTGTAAAAAAACAAATTAAAATTAAAAGACACATCAGTTCACAGTAGGCCGACCTGACAACATTACACTTATGAAGAGATTTACTCCTGAATGTTGTTTACAAGATCTAGGGGGAAAGTATGTAGGAATCTGAGGAAGTTTCCAGGAACATCAGATAACTCCGTTAACTTAGTTATGTATTCAATTAGCTAAAGTCCAAATTAGTCATTTTAGGAGTAAAACTATTCACATATAGAAATTTTGTCAGGTTTTAAGTATTATCTTTAGCAAAAACAAGTAAGGATAGCCATAGGGAAGACACCCATTCACATACACACTTGTTCCCATAATCTATAATCAATAACATAAATGCATCCAATAATTTATTCTCATGTGGGAAGGGCAGGCAGTAAAATATAATTTCCTTAATTTTCACACTCAGCAGGGAGACGAATGTCCAACAGGCTTCAGCACTCTTTCAGTAGTTTTCTTTAATCATGTCCCCCCCCTGCACACACACCACACACATGCTCACACACACACATCCAAATGAACCCCTGAGTCTAACTAACGTGTTCAAGACACAATCCTGTAAATCTGACTGTAAAGGCCTTTGTCATCATTCATAAGAACTGAAGGAAACCGAATATCCCAGCTTCATGTTCTTGAGCACTTTGTCTGACGGTGTTACCCTGCAGTCACACAGTGCAAAGGCCAGAGCTGTGTGGGGTGAACCATACACAGAGAACAAAACTTTCAAAAAATATATATATATAAAAGGGTTTAAAAGTGGTCCCAAATTGCTACATAAAGACTCACTGTATTTCTGACCGTACGACTCATTTAGTTAGGCTAGGCTCAGAGTGGTGTGTGGGTTAAGGATGGATCACAGTTTTTGTATGTTAAATGGTTCATGAAAACTTTTTTTCACTGAAAGCACCAAACTATGGCAAAAACACTTAAAACATAGAACATTTAAGAAAAACTTAAAATACATTAATATCAGAAGATTTTATGTATTGTCCACCTTATAACCCAAAACCACTTAAACGCTGTAAATCAGACAACATATAAAGACGGCAAAGTGCATCCCATCATCATCATCATTATCATCACCACACTGGAAGGATTCATCATCACCCTGTCCAACAAACACTGTGTTCACCAACTGTCTTATAGTTAAAAGTAGCCTGTAACGTCGCAAAAACATCTCAAAGTTAAAGACTCTCAATATATCAAAGATTTCAGCACTACAATCAGGTTCTTAGTCAGTGAAAAAAAAGCTACTTTGAGAATATGACTCCTGAAGCCACACTTTCTCAGACTAAATATGGCATGGGTTTTTGATTTCCCCTGTTTGGAGAGAACCATTATGTGTAATCCAAACTGTCCAATTCACAGAATGTCAGTACACCAAGGGGCCATTAACACAGTGGTTACCAACCTTTTTGGCTTTTGACCACTTAAGCCAGCAAAGTTTAGAACAAAGCTAACCACAGTGAAGGCCATGGCCTCAAGAGCTGTGATCAGTTAAACCAATGAGTGATTTTTCCTTCTCAGGTTGTTTTTAAGAGGGTTAGAGGTCTGAAGAGGTACCGGCACTTTTAAAACCAGGACGTTTAAAATCGTTATTTCGACCCTGCAGACTTAGTTATCTTTGGACCCAGTGTGGGGTCCCAAACACCAGGTTGGGAACCACTGCATTAAGCTACCTGCACCTGGTTGGTTTCTGCTCCAAAGCTTTAAACATAGAGTGTTTTTGTGTAGCCTATGTAGGAGTGGGGTTATGGTTTGTCTGGAAGAGTTTGCAGACTCTGCAGTTTGACTGGGCGATGATACTCACCTTCTTGACATCCCAGATAAGTGATGGGAGGTTTAGCTGAGATTTTTCATTATTATTATTATTTCTACAATTTCCTCCAGTTGGGGCATTTTGCATCACCAGCCATCATCAACCATATTCCATATTTTTGCTCATATCTGTTGCCTCATAGGTCCCGTGTATTTGTCATTACATCAGAATGCAGCAGTTCTTGCTCAGTTGTGCAGAACCTACCACCAGTCGCTCACTCTGACTACGTCTCCGAGCTCGGGGACGCGCCTGGAGACGTGGAGGCGGAGGAGTGGTCGGTGTCCTCCAGCTCCTTGTTGAACCCGCCGTCCGTGCCCGAGGAGGAGGAGGAGGAGCGCGCCGTGGCGGAGGCGCCCTCCCGCTCGCGTTTCTTCTGCTTCATACGCCTGTTCTGGAACCAGATCTTCACCTGAGTCTCGTTGAGCTCGAGCGTGGCGGCGATCTCCACGCGCCGCGCCCGCGTCAGGTACTTGCTGAAGTGGAACTCCTTCTCCAGCTCAGTCAGCTGCCGCGTGCTGAAATTGGTGCGCATGGCGTTGTTGTGTGCGCCCGCGAGGCCGAAGTCCGGCACTTTGACTGGGTGGAGGAGAGGGGGGAGATAGAGAAGCTGTTATGCATGTGTGTTAGGAACTTATTTTGTCTATATAATTAAGAAATAAAAACACATAAACTAGCCTACATGTTACATATATGCTAATACAAAGAACACAAAGCCTGCGTGAATTAAATGTTTCTGGAAGCGTCACGGTGTTATTTTACCCCGCATGCTTTCATGTTAATTGTAAGTCAGGAAGTTGCCTGTTCTTCTTGCCTAAAGTGTCCATCTTTTTAGTTTCCTATTTTGTGTGTGTCTTTATTTAGTATTCATTTATTTAGCGCTAACCAGGCGATTTATATCCGGACTGCAGGTTGCGTTAGGCCTTACATGCCTATATGTAAATCAACGGATCTGTGAAAAAACGTGTTAATAATCTACATTTAGTACAGGCTGGCCTACATAATGTACTCCAAACCTACACATCACAACGGTAAAAGTCCCAATTGATGAGCAAAATAATGAATAATATCACTAATCCGACAAGAGGAATACAAAGGAGGGTGAGAAGGGAAAGGCTGGTGAACGGATGGAGAAGCAGGACTGTGTGTGTGTGTGTGTGTGTGTGTGTGCGCGCGCGCGCCCGTGAGTGTAGGGGGGTGCTTAAAAGATAACAGAGCAGGACAGGCTTCCCAGGGCGAAATAACCCGTCTGCTATGTCCATTAGGGGTGGGGGGTGGGGGCGGCGACGACATATCAGACGTCGGGGGCCATAGTGGACCCAGACCAGACCTGCTTTCTGTACTGAGATATGACTGCATAGAAGTCCCGAAAGCACACAAACCTTTTTTTTTTACTTTTAAAGCGCAAACTGTGAGTGGCCAGGGCAACCTCATGATAAAACTGAACGTTTCTAATCGGATGTTCCATTATGCGGAACAGCAATAACTACAGCACGCTAGCAACAGGCCTGCATATAAAAAGGGCCCTATTTCATTTCAAACGTCTTTGTCCAATCGTTTTAATCTGTCATAACGAAACGCTCTGTTTTTCACTTGAATGAAACTTGCCAATTGTTGTGTCCATTATTTAAAAATTACTCTTCCTGCCTTTGTTGTAGAGCAAAATGACGTGTTTATACTGACAATAAAAGGAAAATGCTTCATATTTGATGAGGTAGCAGTGCTAGTTAGGGAACGGCTTCTACCATGATAACAAATGTTTTATTGTTGTTGGAGCCTCTGTGAAATGATATCATGATCCCTAATAAAAACAATTATTTTATGTACAGTAGCAGGCTATATCTGAGTTGTTTTGATGTTGGACAGCCGCAGTGAAAGCCATTAATAGCACTCATTAAATGGGTTTTGATTTGGTTATTTCTTAATTTTTCCGTTGGTTTACAGTAAAACGAATTCAGACTTGAGTGAATAAAATGAGAACAGACGGAACTTAAAATGTACATTACAAAAGGATGACATCTGTCTAGAAAATTGAAACGGAGGCCTGCGGGGTATAATTTATTTCGTTATTTCTCCGAGGTATCGTAAACCTCTTGAGCTTGTGCTGTTACAAAAATTCGCATTAACAAAATGTTTCAATGAGAATAACTGTATTATATCCCTGACATCTTTCTCACATTGTGTTATTGAATATAGGCTACAATTTTATTCCTCATCCCAGCTATTCAACGACGGACCTTTTTAAAATAATCTCTTTAAGCTCTTTTGCCTCTAACATTTCCCATGACAGCCATTGCGGCGCATGCAAAAGAGGCCACTGCTCCGCATTTTTATGGAAAGCTCACACTATCGAATATGTCCTCTAAACATTTTACTAACTGCAGGCCCAGCCCCTTCAGAATGCGTTAGCACTGACTTCAAGTCAACAAACGGACCAGTTATCGCCAAAAACCACCCACCCTCCCTCACCTGTTTTAGGCGGATTCCTCTTCACCTTCATCCAGTCGAAGGTTTGCCCTTGCCCGGCCTGCTGGCCCTCCTCATCTCCCCTCTCTCGCTCCTGAGAGACCGGTAGCTCCCCGCAACCTCCCCCGTGTGGAAGCCCCAGGTATCCCGCTGCGTCCAAACCCCCGCCAAGGTGCTGCGGGTACTGTGACCCGGCCAGAGCGCCTTGAGGCCCGCAATAGGCCCCGGCCAGGGCCCCGTAGCTGGGGCCGACGGTGGGGGCAGAGCTGGGAAAGGTTGATTGATAGTATGTGGAGGCCACAGACTCCTCCATGAAATACTGTGGGTGAACGCTGTTGGGAGGGCCCGTCGCAGCAGCGTACTCCGAGTTTGTGGCGCACGCCTGACCCGCATAGGCCCCGGTGTTTCCGCTGCTCCCGTTATTATAGGGAGACAAGATTCCGCTTTGTAAGCTTTGCGTTTGGTGAAGGTGAGGATGGTGATGGTAGCCGTTGTGCGTCTGCTGATGCTGCTGTTGCTCATGATGATGAGGATGGGGATGTTGCTGATGATGCTCGGTTGTCCCTATGGTCCCGTGCACTCCTTCACCGGTGCCCCCGTACAGCCTCCCATCCCCGGTGTAACTCGCTCCGCCTGCGCTGCTGTCGCTTCGAGTCCCGTTAACGAGAGCTGGAGATCCGGAGGGTCCCGTGTGGAAGGCGCCGGAGGCCACCGAGAAGCCCTGATGCTGATCCAGAGGATGGTGGTGGTGATGCAGATGATGATGGTGGTGGTGGTATCCAGATTTAGGCGCAGAATAAGCGCCGGTGCCCGGTCGGTTACAAATAGAGTATTCCACAAAAGAGTTCATGTTGTCCATGCAGGCCGCAGGCACGGTGGGGCTGAACAACGTATCAAAGGATCAGCAAGAAGCAGGAGCCCACAGATGAAGTTAACAGAAATGAGTTGGAAAGAACATCAAAAACTCGAACAATTCCATTTAAAAAGTGTTTCCAAGAGTAAGTGGGAGGGTGTGAAATAACTCTGTTGAGGGAACATAAATCACGAGAAAAAATAAAACAAAAAAAAGTATTTTTTTAAATGGAGAAATCCTTACACTTGTAGGCATAAATGTTCAGCAAGATTAGATAAAAATAAAAACGACATAAAGTTCCGATGTGGAGGAAAAAAGTAGAGTCTGCACGTCACTAACCCGAAACACACATGAATAATGTGCTCCAGTGGGCTGTGTTTGTGTGCGTAAACGGAAGGCCTTGCACTGTCAATAGCTCAGGTCAACCTGGGATTTCCGAAGGCCCATCAGTGACAGCAGAAAACACCGCGAGAAGACAGAAAAGAGTCAAGTCACCTCTTCACCCCCACACAGGTTACACTGCGTCCTCTTCCATTCTGTGGTTTTCCCCCCTCAAAATCTCTGTGTTCCCCTCTTTTCTGGGACTCGCTTTCTCTTGTCACTCCTTCTCTTACCTCTGCAGCGTCGGTCACGTGGCTCGTCGTCACGTCGCCTATGGTGACCGGAGGCCAGAAGTTTGTCAACCGGCCACGAAAGGCGAGGGATCCAGTGTGTGTGTGTGTGTGTGTGTGTGTGTATGTGTGTAGGATAGGGGAGGGGGACCTTTCGGTTTAGAAGTGGAGTTTGAGCGCGCGCGCGTTTGCGCGGACGCACGCGCCTCATCCATCACTAGCCGTGACATTAGCACGACAAAGAGACTTCAATCAAACCGGCCCATCAATCTGATATCAGCACGGATCTGTCAGAGCGAAGAGAGAAGCAGAGAATAAAAGAGGAGCTGTGAGCGGGCCTGCTGCTTCCAGACCTCCTCACAGCAAAATCCCCCCATAAATAACTCAGAAACCAACCTGCAGTACACTGGCACTGTGGTCTCATTGTAACTTCTCTATACTACACACTTCTGCTATAGTTCAAGTCAAGCTTGTTTCTCAAAATCCTGCCGCTATGCTGGTGTTACTTTCACTATGCTATTACTATTACTGCTGCTGTCATGACTATTACTGTACAGTGAAATTGTGAGTGTCAGTTAAGCTTCATGTTGTGTTTAGAGTCCTAGAGACCCCAGGCACACTTTTAACAGCTCAAAAAACTTGCTTAGCGTTGTTTTATGACCTTGCTGCTCCATGACTTTTCCTGATTTATGAAAATATTTTATTACCTGATTTTGAACTGGTGCCTTGTTTTGGAAAATGTCACATTGCCTCTATTTGGGCTCTCAGAGACTCCAGCTGTAAAACCTGGTTATAGGCGACAATGGATGCTTTTATATGATTGGTGTTGACATTCGTGTTTATGCAGCACTACCCCTCCAAAGTCCTGTTATGGATTCTGTTATTGGAGATTTTAACAGTTTTTTAAGAGCACTAACAGAGAGTTAGATCTTTCTGGGGTCCCAAACATACCGTAAGTAACATCACTCTGTAGGAGAAAATCCACAGAACAGTCACATGTATTTGTCTGTGAATGACTTTTTGGCAAACAAAAGGGATAGCCTATATGTTTGTTCATGTATAGCTAATTCAACATGGTTATCTATTTTGTCACCTTAATCAAATGTTGACACCTACTTTGTAGCAAAAGGAGGAGTTACCACTTCAATATGTTTACTACATACTGGGTTTCAATACAGTCAAAGAAAAAGAAAAGATATATAAAGAAAAAAGTGTGTGATTATTATAATTAAACATTTTTACACATACTTCCATATTTACAGCCTTTACTTCCTCATCATTTGTGGGACCCCAAGAAAAGGTCAACAAAATACAAGGTTTAAAAACTTAAGGATGATTCCGGTTAATGTTTTTATTTTCATAACTTCTGGAATCATTTCTATCAGTTCCGATAATATGTTACTATTCCTAAATTTACTGCATATTCTCTACACAGGACTGAGAAGGCCCAAAGAATGACTGCAGCTCTGAGGGATCTAGGCCAGAATAAAAGTGCTTTGATTTGTAGAAACTCCTGGGCATGGTGTACTGCAAAACATTGAACCTATATGTGTTTAGAGATAACTTCACTACATGTATGGACAATAAAAATCTTACTTAAAAAAGAAAGATCAACCGCCAGACATTGGACACATTTAAACAAACAATTTAGCGCAATCATTGAAACCACTTTATTTGGGAAACAGTGGAGTAATAATTCCTCATTGCATAGATAAACTGAGCAAGAATATATAGACAGTTATCAACAGTGTGAAAAGAACCAAAGCAGTATTTATTGGCATGTGTAGTGTGTTTTGAAGAGTTCAGCCCTGGCACATGGTAGTTAACCCAGGATAACTAAATAGGAGCATGAAAACAATGTGAATTAGTCCTGGGTCTTTGGTACTTTGGTCCACCAGCAACTAGGAAACAAGTGTGAAAAGACATCAGCAGGTGGTTCAAACCAACGCTGCCGGTTGTTTGAAGGAAATTCTTTTTTTAAACTTAGACTGTAAATCTGCTTTGAACATCTTGTTGCTACACTGAGTTGCACTATGCCGTGCTGAGTGCCAGCTGCTCTGCTCTGACATTTAAATCTGTCAGTGTGTGACTGACTGACTGACTGACTCGCTGACCTCCGCTGTAACATCCTGCACTAATAGAATGTCTGCATGAAACAGTGCGGCTTCATCTTTCCTCTCTGGTAAAGACACTTTTCTGATTGTGCTTTGCAGCAATTTCCCCATCAGCTCCGATCATCTTTTCCCCTTTCTCCATCCCTCCTTCAGCCCAGCTCACTAGCACGTCACTTTAAAGATTATTGATTTGACTGAATCTCTTCTTTGCACATTTTCCTTACAAGATGGAGGAAATCTTTTAATGGATCAAAAGGTTTCTATCGATCAGAGGGCTCGATTGCAGAGACTTTTGGGAATCAGTTTGCTTTTCAACAATTGGATTGGGAGGCCATAGATTTCTGATAGCCGAATGTGCATGTGTGAGTGCATGTGTGAGACTGTGTTTGCTAATTGAATGAATGAGCTGATCTGTTATAGAAATGAGGTTAAGGCAGACAGGAGGCCTTCTGGTTGGCCAAACCCTGCCGGTCCAGCAGGACAGGAAGCAGGGCCAGCCATGATGGCAACACAATGTTCTTTCTGTGAATGTGTGTAAAACAATGGCCTGCAACCGTGCACATGATTGGACTTTTTACAAAGGGTTTCTGTTAATTGTATTGGAAAGACTGTTCATCTTTTATCCATGAGTTGTTACAGTATGAAATAGAAAAAAATAAGCATTCATTTGTTTCTTGTCCTTCTCATTTTTCCTCTTTTTAGGGCAAAAAAGGGCAAACAGAAAGTCCTTTCTACCCATTATAACTGCCTCCAATGAACTGTCATCCATTTCTCCCCTCCAGAGCCTCTGTGAGGGGCCTGACAGCAGACGCGCTGCCGTCCCGCCGCCAGGACGAAATCAGAACGAGCGGCGTGGGCGTGCGACAAGGAGGGAGGTTAATGATCAGTGAGGGGCTGAAAGGAGAGAGAGAGAGAGAGGAAGAGCGAGTGGGCAGGAAGTCTGCAGGAACAAACTGGGACAAGAAGAAGATTAAATGACGCCCACACGGCTGTCTGGCTACTGAAGAGACTACAGGAGAAAGAGAGCGAGAGAGAGGTCAAAGGGTCAGAGCTCAATGTGTTTTAAAAGTTTGTTTTTGATTCATGAAGTAATTCAGTTTTTAACACATGATCTGTGTTTGGGTCCTTGTCATGTTACTTTCCAGGTCAAGCAAAGCAATGCTGCTGCAACGAATGATTTTTTTTTTTTAAATGACCAATTAATCTGTCAATATCTTTTGCCAATCAATTAATCGTTTAGTCAAAAAAAAAAGCATCAGAAGATTTTTGAAAGGCACCTTGAGATAGCTGAGGCGGAGTCAGGTGACCTTTCATCCCACGGGACAGAGATTCCTCTTAAGGAAGAGACTTGACTGTGTAGATTATGTTTCCACCTGTCTGAGATCTGGGCGGGTAACAATGGTCCAAAATGTTCTAGGACTTGGTATAAAGAAGCTAAAAGGAAATATTAGTGAGTCTGAGTGTGACTCAGTTCTGACTGCAGTGACTCCTCGGTGTTGTGTCAGTCACGTCCATCCACATTTCCCTTGAGCACTGAATCAGCCAACAGGAGGCCTTAATGACCTTTACATGATTAAGACTACCCACCATTCATTGTATTCAGTGCTTGGATGCTTCAGTGTATTGTAGCAGGCATCCGCGTTTCCAAAACACAGAGCTCAGGCCTCAACCTTAAAATGGAAATTTGACTCTTGCCTGTGTGTGTGTATTGTTACAGACCTTATGTCTTTTATCAACTTTTGTCATACGTGAAAAATACTGAAAGGGTGCTGCCTCTGCTGCTCACTCCTCACAGACTGAGTCTCTGCAGATCCCAAGCCTGAACACTGATTCTGTCAAATCAATAATCACAGAATTTTGAGTATTTTGAAGTACTTAAGACATAATTCTCACTCGGAGGGTCTATACTGGCTCCAATCACAATCTCTACATGTGGTCTGGATGAGCTGAAACCGTTAAGATATAATCAGTTAAGATAATCATTGTATATATTTGCTACAAAGTTTGCTCAGCTTGAAGCTGAGAAAACCTCTGTTTATTGGACATTCATCATGTCAAGTCAAAAGACTTGAAGTGAGAAGAGTTCATTTTTCTTTTTTGTAATTTCATTTGAAGTTGAATTAGTAAAATATATCTATGTTAAGTTCATGAGAAAGGATTACTTGACTCCACCAAATTATGTTTTGCAGTTTATGCATATGTGTGTGTAAACATACACAAAAAGTCTTGGCCTCATGCTACAATACCTTTTCATTCACTGCTATAATCAATATTTCATAGTTATTGAAGCCTCTGGTGCATTACTGTTTTCAATTATAATTATTGTGATGATAAACTAACAAACAAGAAAAAAGGGTCTGAAGGAAGTTTTACATGGAAATGGGAAAATTCCAATAGCTATATCACGAAAGAGAGCCAAGCAAAGAATGTCCCTTTCACTTAGGAAAAAACTCTATTCTTAAATATATATCATGATATACTGACTTTCATTGTGCACCCGTCTGAAAAGAGGAAAACTATAATAGTTACAGAAATGTTCTTAGTGATGACAATGCATCTCAAAATACCATTTTACTTGATATACAGTAGATGTCAGGGAGCGCTTCACTGGTCTGTTGCTTGCTTGTTATAATGTTTTCTATGTTGTTGCCAGTGAGGACTCTGCCATGGATGTGCTGTATGTTGGGGATAAGCCCTTAAGCTCAAGCTTGTGTGATGTTTGCCACTGAAGAAATACTTTACTGCAGAACCAGACAACTGACAAATGCTACCAACTTGCTAATGTGTCAAATTTATCCAGAAGCCTCCAATTCTCAGTTAGTGAACAAACACACGCTTTGAATCGTAGTTGCTGTTAACACTTTGATATCTATTATAACAACTTTGTGGTGGACATATTTTGTTCAATGGTGTTTATTGTGGTTATAGACTGTATTATGTAATATATGATAATAATTCATGCCACATATTAAAGACCACATAGCCATTGTTTTCTTTGTATTTACTTAATAAAAGGGGTGAACAAGGTGCCAATTTATTTTACCGCCTGTA